GAATTCTTTTTTATAAAGTCGATTAAAAACAACCAATAATCAATCAAAAGCATAACAACAAAAAAAGCAATAATTGAAAAAAATATTTCCATTAGAGAAATAGAAGATTTTTCTATTTTACTTTTCCAACCACCAAGTTTCTGCCGAATATCCCCAAAGGGGGTGCACCCATAAACTTCATGACTTGGGACGATTTTGCTTAACGCAGGTCGTGAGCTGGAGTAACTCCGAGAGCTGAGGTCGCTCACCTCTGGTCTAGACGTAGTCAGTACATCAATGTTTATTATAGATATTTCAGGAAAAGAAAATCACTTTATTATTAAATAATTCAATCAGTGACTCCACAGTGCAAAACCAATAGGCAATTAATTTAATTGAGTACAATCAACAAATTTGATTATCAGAATCAAATGTCATCAGTATATATTCATGTCGTTAATAAGATCTTACAGTCAAGTATCATAAAATCTTTTTAGCCGACTTGATTTCTCCCAAAAAAGGTTCTATAACATTTTGTCGTAAAATGATTGGTTCTTGAGACAAATATACAACAATTATTATTGACTAGCATAATAACAAAAATTGACAAAATTGGAAAAATTACTTGTCATTTTCCACCGTCACATTGCAGAATTAAGGTTCAAAATTGAATGCATTATCTTCTCGACTCAACCCCCAACATATTTCTGCAAATTTAATTATTTTAAAAGAATAGTCCAGCGAAAAAATTCCGAATTTTAATGCTTTATAGATAGAAAAATTTACAAGCACGGATTGAACTTGCGATTAAGAGCTGAGATTTTCGACAAATTAAAAAAAATATATTTTAGACTCATCTGGGGGTTGACCGTTTCAAAATTTGTCATCAAGGGACACCTCAATATTCATAATAGTGTTCATCAAACTTTTGTAACATTTAGTATAAGCACATTTTAACATTATAAATGACACAATTGAATTCGATTTGTGCACTTATCACAGAACGCAACTCCTTTTTGGTAGATGATAAAGACTCAACTTACAATCACCAATCGCATTTCGACGATCCCGATCTCGGGATGCTGTACGTCTAAGTGGAATTGAATGGGTGAGTGGGGCGTTTTATAGTTGAGATACAGAGTTCTCGAGTTTCTCAGGATCTTTAATGTTGGGGGCCAAGGAGGCTTGGAAATTGCACAGCCCCCACGCGCACGATTGACTCATGGAATCACATTGCTTTACGCCTTCCTCTTCTTCTCACTGCTGACTAATACCACGCCTTGGAGCTGATAATAGGTCTTAGGGGTAAAGTGATTTTGAAATGTATCGGCAACGGAGACTCTGCTGGCATATAACATCCAGCTCCTGC